GATTTTTTATTTGATCCTGGAGGCAATAGGGAGCCACTAAAGTTTACTGAGGAAGGTAACACGATTGGACCTACACTTCAGGAAAATCACTTTAGTGACTAAATGGAGGACAGAATGGAGTGGGGAGAGACTTTGAGAGAGGCAGACCAACCAGGAGCTATTACAATAATCCAGGTGTGAGGAGAGAAGAGTCCACACTAGAATGATGGCAGGGTCAGAGGACAGAAGGAGGAGCATTGGAAAGATGCTGCAATGGTGAAATCGACAGGCCTTGATAACATATTGGATATTGAGGGTGAGAGATAGTGAAGAATCCAGGACGATTTGCAAGGTTGCAAGCTGAGGAACTGCGAAGATGGTGTTGCCCTCTATATCCATAGTCTATACACAACAGGGATCCAATAAAGGTTGCATGTTAACCTAAAGAAACTGGCTGTAGTTCTTCAGTGGGAAAAAAGAATGCTAGATTTTAAGAGTAGGGAGATATAGAGTAGGATAGTGTGTACTACCTATACTTTGGGTAGAATAAGCTACTCCCACTTTGTACCAAACAATATAAGATGGGTGTAATCCATTACAAGCTAGATTTAAGGATTTCTTGACTTTGAGGACTGTGAGATGTTAGAGTATTTATTAAAGGAGGCTGAAGAGTTTCCTTTTCCATGGATTTTTAAGTGCAGACAAAATTCAAGACAATTTCACAGACTGAGAGCTCCCACAATTCGAAAAACCTTTGAATGGCATATAACACAGTAATACTGTACACACTCCCTACCATGCCTCAAACAGGGATTTTTGTGCACAGCAGGTGTTTGTTATCTGGTGAACTCCATTGTCTGAAGAAAGGCTTTTGATAACTTTCTCTGGAATGATGCCTAGAGATACAGGATCAAATTAGATGGCATCCAATCCCAGGATTGTGTCTTTTACCTTTCTAGATTGGGCTGGGGGTGGGGGTGGGGGGAAAGGGGATGGTATCAGAGCCTCCTTTACTTTTAGGCCTATGCAAGAAAGCAAGACTGCAAACAGTTTTTGTGCCCTGTGTAGTATTTTGTCCCTTGGATCAGTGGTGTTAAACTCAAATAGAAACAGGGCCAGTAAAGGATCACATGAGGATTTCTGCAGCCACATATTGACTTTAAAAAACCACATATTAAGATTATCTTTATTTTATTGTATTTGTATTTATTAAATATTTCCCAGTTGCATTTTAATTCGATTCCTTTCCACTTAGGCTCCCTGTTTGACATGTCTGCCTTGGATGATAAGTGGGCTCATTCTACAAATGAGTTTTTTAAGTCAGTCCATCCCGGGCACATTATCATTCACTGAAGAGACTGTGTGGTGGCTGGAGTCATTAGAACTTATGAAGTGGGAAAAGGAAAAAAGTTGGCCTAAGAACCTATGATTTCTCCTCAGGGCACAAAGCAAACCTCTTTAGATATGGAGGACTATGCCACAGTCACTGCTTAACTTTTACAGAATCTTCTCCAAAATCCAATACTCTTATAGCAGCCTACAGCCTCATTACAACCTAAATGGTGGTAAAACTTGTTTCAACCTGAGGACTTTTTTGGTAAGGTAAGGTGTGGAGGAAGCTGCTAGAGGACATCATCTGAACAATCCAATCAATCCCTCTATACCCTCTGAAAAAAAATTTACCTAATTCTCCTTCAGGTCACTAAACTGAATGAAACACTCCATCACTAATTCTCCAAACAAAGACATGTCACCACTTAAGTGCCATTTTTTATTGCCTCTTCCTTTCTCCTTCCCCTTTCTTCTGAGCATCTGTCACCACCATTTGGGTGGCTGGCACACCAGTATACAGTAACAGGTCCTTACTGATCAACAACTTAGAAACATATGCCCTGAACTGCCAGCTTTCCAAGGGTTGCAGATTCCACAAAGACATGAAAATAGAAAATGAAGGGGAAAAGAGACTTTTCCAAAGAATAGACACATAAGAAGAATAAAAAAGAAATTGTTAAAAAACTTCTTTGTTACCAACTTCTACCTAGCAACGTTTCCCAATTAACAGCTCTTCTACAGTGTTATATTAATACAACACTGAGCACAGCTCCCTAGTTCCAAAAACATGTAGCCTAATACTTCTGGCTCACTACAAAAAGTCTGGAGGAAGGAGTAGAAAAAAAAATAGATGGGGTCCTGAATGAAGGAAGGAGACACCTGTACAGCAGTACAGCATTGAGTCTTTCCCTCTCCACCTTGACTGATTTAGCAGGCAACCCACCCTATACTTCTAAGAGGTCTCCTTAACAGCCCTGACTACATTACCAGAGCTTGGATTCAGAGTTGCCCAGCAAATATGGCCCCATACAAGGTGGAGATAGGGGGATAAGTCTGAAGAGGTTAAGTGACTTGTTCCAGATCACAAAGCAGCCTTTCCACAGGTCTAAAATATACACTGTTTCTGCTGTAGGTAACACTTTGATTGTCAACCTCAACTGTAAACTAAACCTTGAAACAGGAAGAGGGAGATGATTTAGCCCTTTGAGGTCAGCTGACAAATACTGAAGGTGTGTCCCTTTCCCTACCTCCTAGCCTTTTATGATGCAGTGAAAAGGAATGGGCTTTGCTACGGAAGTCTCCATTTTCCATTTCTCATGGGAAGACAGACAGGAACAGAGTAGGACATGTTTGCATTATTAGCACCTTGGCAGTACTGTTGGAACATGTATGTATGCACAGGTTGGGTAGGATAGGCTGGAGAAAGCCAGTATGACCTGTCAACAGAACAACATTCCCTGTAGGTTCTGATAAACAGGGTTGTATGCATATATATGTAAATATGTGGATGAAAGGATAAAATTAGATAGTTGCCTCTCACTGACAGGAGTGGTGGTGAGCAGAAAGGGAAGAAGCTAGATGCTTAGATCCCAGAGGGTTGGGGTAGGGAGGAACCTGGCAATGGTAGAAACTGGGAGTGTGCAGTCAGGGCCAGGTCTAACATTTCTCTAAACAGAAAGGTAAAAGCTCAGAGAAGTAATGTCACATCCAAGGTCATAGTACACTTGGCAAGAGGGGCTGTGAAGTTCCCTGTCGAAAACTATAAGAGGGACTATCAACTTCTCCACCCCTCCACCCTTCAGAAATGTGCCAAGCCTAGCTCTAACAGCAAAGTTTTAACCCATGTGCTTTTAATACATTTTAATCAGCAGTCACAGGACTTCAGCCACCTCAGTTAATCAACAGCTAAGCCTTGGTTAGGGGTGGAGAAGAAGCATGTCACAGAAGAAAGTCCCAGAGAAAGCCACATAATGCTCCTCTTGCTGAGAGCCTGGATTCCAAATGATCTTTTATTTGAAAGGATCTAGATTAACCAAGTGACAGTTACTCTACACTTAGTCAGTTTTCTCAGTCTGAATACTCATAGTCCCAACAGCCACTCACTAAAACATCACTCTCTCTCTCCCTAACAATTTATCACTTCATCTCCTCGAAGAAGCACAGTCTCACAGACCAACACTACACCAAAGAAAATGATGACCTAAATGGCAAGGAAAAAACTGTGTCACCCAATTACAACATGACTCTGCTCCCTTTTATTCCATCCCCTCCATCTGCCTCTTCACTCCCTCCAAATGAGGGGCATCTGTAAAGCTAAACATATTCTCCCATTATTGGTCACATTCCCTGGCTAACTCAAATCCCAGCAAACCTTCTGAGCAAGGGCTGACAAAGAGATTAGCCTCGAGATGGAAAACTCTGATTCCTCTACACCTGTTGTGAAGCCACCAAGGACATTGGAACAGAACACTGAAATGACAGGCATAAGTCTTCCACCTTGAAATCACCAAATCTTTCCAAGACCCTGCCTCCTAAACACCTCCCCTCCCCATACACCCTAAAGATCTTCATTGTCACCACCCACCCACATTTCTTCCCCATCATACAGACCACACATTCGTCTCTTTTCTAGTGGGCTACAGCTTCTGACTAGCTTGCAGCAAATGTCCGCATTACTAGCCTATGCAGTCTTGACAGAAAAGCTTCAACTCCATACCAGGTGTCAACTCCATACCAGGTGTAATTGACTTTTTCAGTCCCACAATGCTTCATAGCTGTAATATAACATCGAGGGATATAAGGCCTGGATGTAGATTTCTCTTCAATCTCAACAGACAGATTGGGAAAACTGTCTCAGGTAAAGAGAGGAATGGTAAGAGGCAGGCTCTAATACAATGAAGTGAGACAGGCTTCAAAATCCTAAGTCCTGGAGGGTAAGAATTGATCGAAGGTTAAGTATGACAAAGGTAATGAAAGAATCAAGGAGGGGGGAGGAAAGCCAGCCATTGAACTGCGGCTGGGAGAAGACACAAAAATCGCACTGCATGTGATTTTTTTTGGGGGGGTAAAAAAGACAAGTGAGGGAGACTAGGGAATGTCAGGCACAGGAAAAGTGTGTCAGAGGGGCGGGAGAAAGGGAGGGAACGGGAAGGAAGCTCATCTCCAAAACATTTGCAGAGGACGAAAAGTCCCGAGGAAGGGGATACGAGGGTCCAAGGTTGCAGAGGGATCACGAGGAAGATGGGGGTGCTGGGCATGTAGAAATCGCCGGAAGGGGCAGTATAATCAGGGAGGAGAGAAATCTAAATGGCGGAGGTATGAAGGAAGGAAGGAGGGAGAGGTGGTGGTGGTGACGGAGGGCAAGTGCACAGGGGTGCAGGTGTGTAGGTGTGTGCCGAGTGTGGGGGGGTGGGGGGGAAGCAGCCAAGGCCCAGACGGGAAGGAAGTGAAGGGAAAGGGGGAGAGGTGGCTAAAGAGGTCTCCACGTGAGGGGGCGGGGCTTCCCTTGAAGCGGGGGTGCACCCCAGGGAGGGGGTGCCAAATCACCTCCTCCAGCCCCTCCCCAGGGCCCGGAGGCGCGCGCCCCGGGCCAAACGATTCAGTAAATGGGGGTGGGAGCGCTCGCGGCAGCCCAGGTGCTGGGGGACAAGGCCGGGGGGCCACGCTCGCTCCCTCCCGCGCCCACTCACCCGCAAGGCGGACAGGTCGATGTCGTCCAGGCTTCGGGCCGGGGCGGGGTCTCCCATGGCGGCGGCCGGGCCGGGCCGGAGCCCGAGCCGAGAGGCTCAGACTGGGCGGGCCCAGAAGGGACGCGGGGTCACTCAGGCTCCGGCTCCCTTATTGCGCTGCCGTTGTCGTTTCTGCCCCATTGGGGGAGAGGAAGGGATCGGGGCTCCGCTTCGCCTCCCCTTCCCTTCCCTGGAAAGACGGGGTTGGGGGATGCGATGCAGGTAAGTTACCCGACAGGATCCTTTCCGATTGACTGACTGACAGGAGCTCAAATTCTGAACTCGCAACCCGGAGCCCCTGAACTCTACTGCGCACGCGTTTTTGAGCGAGGGTGGGAGAGGGAGGGAGCAAGAGAACAGGTTGTGCGCACGCGCGAGCACCAGCTGAAGGTCCGGGAGCAAAGGGAAGTGGGTGTGGGGAAGAGGTGCGGGATGTGATGGTCCAGAGTGCACGGAATAACTGTTGCGCGTGCGCCGGACGGAGCCTCTCTTCTTCCCTCTTTTGCTCTTCCAGTCTCGCATGCCACCTTCTCCCCTCCCGCGGGCCAGAATTGCGACTGGCTCCCTAACTTTCTAGCTGAACCACCTACCTGGTCGGGCGGGGCGGGGCGGGGCGGGGCGGGATGGGATGGGATGGGGGAGGAGGAGAAAAGGAGGGCATCCAGTTCCACTTCACAACTCCAGAGGGGATGCCATGGCAACCCCCCACGCTAAGGGGGAAAGCGGGCCTCGGGATAGGGTAGGCTAGGCTAGGCTTAGGACAGGCTGTCCACCCACCCTGGTCGCCACGGCAACCGGAGAACCACTGGGGGAGGCAGTGCTGCAAGGAAAGCCTGGGGAGAATGCAAGTGGGAGAGGGCAGGTATGGAGCCTGAACTCTTGCTGTACGAGCGTTCAGGAAATGTTCTCCAGCTAGGCGAGGCTTAGAACTTCACCAAGGGCTACTTCTAAATAGGGATGTTTCTCCAGGTCCTCCTCTGAACTATCTCTCCCCCTTCCCCCACAAACACACAGGGTTATTCGTAGTAAATATTATTGATAGGTCGAATGGATTGATTGCTTTGTCCAGCTGGTGAAAGGAGCATATTTGCTCCGGACAACTTGCCTTGGGGCCACTCACGGCACACTGAAGCATATGACAGCTCTTGTTCACCCCTTGGTATGGGAGCTCCCTGGAGTGGGGCATATGTCAGCACTTTTAATTTATCTTTGCCCTCAAAGCTCAGCCTTCAAGGCTCTCGTGAAGGTAGGAAGGAGGGAGGTGAGCCAACGTTCATTATTGTGGAAGATGAAAACTGCTAAGAGGTAAGAGTTTGATAAGGTGACACTTTGTGGGGTTTTGGCTCCCCTTGTGCAATTCTATTACACACTGAGACTGCGTATTGAAGGATAGGTAGGGCTGGAATAGGTGGAGTGAAGTGGGATAGAGAACATTTAGCAGGAGAACTACATAGAGGCAAGAATGAACAGGTTGTGTGTGGGAGCAGGGTGGACCGAGCTTATTCAGGGCTTTGAATGCCATGGTGAGGAGTTTGGACTTGACTGGTTGTCCTTTAATGGATAAATATCCCTGGGATATAAGATATAAGATATAAGCTTCTACCTACTAGTGTGCTGGGGCTCTAGAAGCATAGGGACCACAACACTTCCAGGCCCTGCCTCAGCCTCCTGAGACTAGAGAGGTCCACAAGCCTCTTAGGGCTCCCAGGTTCTCTGAGACATACCTTCTCCCAGAACTTCCTGTGAATTGAGTGTCCAGAGGCTTCACAGGACACAGCAACACCTTGTACCATGAGATCAAGACTTGAGAAGGGCAGCCTTGAACCCTCTAATCACCTGTCTTCCTCAGTAAACCTTTCTCCCATCCACTAATACTATCTAGCCTCATTTCCTAGTGGTTCACATATTTCATCCCCGTCTGGTCAAGAAGCACCATTCTAGGGATACTGAACTCTCAGCTATTAGTCTTTCAAAAAAAAGCTATTAAACATCTACTGTGTGCCAGGCACAAGTGCTAAGAATAAAAATATGAAAAAGAAGTCCCTGCCTTCAAGGAGTTTGCAATATATAGTAGAAAGACACACAAAAGCAAGCTGAAAAGAAAGGGAAAGATAAGTGGCTGAGGGGCATGATGGAGAAGTTGGCTATATAGCTGAGTAGGAAGTGAAGAAATGGCCAGACCTCTGGGAGATCTCTACTTTCCAGTCAAGGGGCCCTAGAGGCTAAAGGTACTTGTGAGGTGTGAGTTCCAGGTTTTAGTGTTATCTTTCAGCATCCCCAGTTCCTGGGGCTTGATGGAAAAGTCCAGAATACAACTGGCAATCCAGCTGAAGCAATCTTCAGGTGCTAAAGAAAAAACTCACCTTTCCAATCCCAGTTGTCCAATGCATACCCACACCCACCTCAACCCAGACCTGCCTCCCTAATATCCCACTCCATATCTATGCCCTTTCTGCTGTGTTCTCTGGATCACCTGCTCCATGATTAGCAGACTTCCATTCATTTTAGATCTTTTCATCTCTTGCTTTTTTCCATCTTCTAGCACTCCCTTGAGACCTGGCTCCCTCCAAATGATATTACATCCCTGGATCCCCTTTTCAGCACTGTCTTCACTTTCTCTTATGCTTCCCCCTTTCATGCACACTCACTGTTCCCACATGGATGGAGTCAGAATATTTCTTGTTACCCATTGCCACTTGGAGACTTCTCTCTCTATTGCTGTCACTCAACAACCTTTTCCCTTCTGAAGTTCACTGTATCCAAATTTATCACTGATCTAGATCCTCTTTTGGCCATTATCTATCAATCCCTGGAATATTCTCTCTCTTCTCTCAAACAGTTTAATGTGTAGCTCATAGTCTTTCTCTTCTACAACTCCTGCCCTCATCTAGGAGACTGAAACATACATATTAATCTTCCTTCAACTACTATAACTAATCATTTCTTCAATGTACTGAACTCCTATGACGTTACTCTTTCACTTAGCTATGAACAGATATGATCATAGTCTTCATCTTCCCATCACCCATAAGCATTCTGTTTCCATGTTCATAAACTCTTGAAATTCTTTTATCAGATCATAATATTTCATCTTTTCATTCCTCCCTATGCCTTCCATTTCCTAGCCCTCTTCTTCACTCTCACTATGACCTTGATTCTACCATTCAGTGTTTTCCAAGGCAATAACTTTTATGCTGGCTAAACTCTCTTCCCATCCCAATTTTGACCCTTTGGTGAACTAGCTCAATTCTACAGTTTCTTCCAGTCTTGAATCTCTTATCTTATATTGGATCATGCCTTGCCAAACCCTAACCCTGAATTGTTCCCTCATCTACCTCTTTGGATCTACTCATTTGATGCTGAATAGGAGGGTCGTGAAATTATGCTGACTGGTTCCATGACAGATTTGTATCTTATCTGAATTGAGTCTTCATTTCAGCAAAGCAATCTCTCTAATCCTGCCTCATTGATTCTCTAACCCACTTACCACAGTGACTGTTCCATAATTTTTTTTCTCTCAAGCTGGTTATGACACCTTTCTCTTCTGTTAGCTAAGGACCTTGCCAAATATTTTACCAAAAATTTGAGACCATTTTCTGAGAGTGCCTTCTTCTCTTGTCACATCCTTCTGACATCATCCCATACTGTATCCTCCTTCATTCCAGCGTCTGATGAAGACTTCTGCTTGCTAATGCCAACTCCTCTATGTACACCTTTGATCCTATCCCTTCCTGTCTTCTCCAACAGATTTCCTCCACTATTATTCTCTCTCTCTCTAATGTTCAGCCTCCCTATCTGCTAGTTCCTTTCCTGTTGCAATGTCCATGTCTCTTCTAGCTAAAAAAAATTAAAGCAAAAGCCCTCACTAGACCCTATCATTCGTGATAGGGATTATCCCATATCACTCCTATTTCTCAGCTAAACCTCTTGAAAAAGCCTATATTAAGCGCCTTCACTTCCCTTACTCTTTCTTAAACTTCCTACAGTCCAATTTCCAACCTTATCATTCAACTGAAATTGTCCCTCCAAAGTTGCCAATGCTCTCTTAATTGCCAAATCTAATGTTGACCACCCTCTTTTCCTCTCTACTTTCTAGGTTTTCATGACACTGCTCTTTTGATTCTTTTCCTACCTATCCAACTAAACCTTTTCTGTCTTCTTTGTTGAATCTTCATGTCATAACCACCAAATTGAACCCATGTCAGCTTTCATGGGTTTGTACAATCCCTGTGCCAATGATTCCCAGATCTTTATATCCATTCCCAGTTTCCTAAACTCCAATCCCACATTACCAAATACTTATTGAACATTCTTAAGTAGATGATCTGTACATAGATATCTCAAACTCAAAATTTCCAAAACAGAACTATTTTTATGTTTCCCCCTAAGTCCACCCTTCCGCCAAACTTCCCTTTTCTGCAACCTCAGTATCATTCTGAGCTCCTCCCTTTCCCACACCCCACATCTAATCAGTTGCCAAATCTTGTCATTTCTGCTTCTAAACCATCACAAATCTGTCTCTTTCTCTTGACTCGAACAACCACAACCCCTAGTTAAGATACTTATCACCTTTTGACTGAACTATAGCAATGTCTGAATTGGTCTTCCTCTCTCAAATTTCTCCCTTATTATATCCATCCCTCATATAGCTACCAGGTAGCCTGTGTCATTACCTCCACTAATAAACTCCAGTGGCTCCTAGGATTAAATATAAACTCTGATTTGGTATTAAAACTCTTCATAACTTGGCCACATCCTTTTCCAGGCCTCTTAAATATTATTACCTTCCACACTTTACAATCCAGCCATAGTTGCCTACTTGCTGTCCCTCTGGCCTAGAATGCTCTGCCTCTTCACCTCTTGAAATCTCTGGCTTCCTTCAAGACTCAATTCAAGCAGCTCCTTCTTCGAGGGGCCTTTTTCAGTCCCCTCAGCTTCAATGGAGTTCCCTCTTAAGGTTACCGTGAATTTACTCTATGTGTATCTTGTATATGCCTATTTCTTTTTACATACAAGCTATCTCCACAATTAGAATGTAAGCTTTATAAAGGCAGGTACTATTCTTTTTCCTCTGTATCCTCAGGGTTTAATATAATGCCTGGCATGTTAACTACAGTACATGCTTAATAAATGCTTATTGATTGATTGGTAGAGGAATTGACAGCTAAGTGCTGAGACCATAGGAATTCAGAACTGGAAGGAACTTTAAAGTCATTTAATCTTGTCATTATTTATTGATAATTATATTAATTACATATAATATTACATTAATAATCTTAACATTATTAAATC